ATGAAATCAGAAAACTCTGGTATGAATACGAGATATGTATCGTGATGGAGAAAGTAACCGCAGCTCGCTAGATAAATACTCCGGTATACGATATATTATGTGTGTAGGTAGGTACCTACTCGTATGCAAACTGTACATCAACTCGGTTTAACCCCTATGCTATGGCGTTTTTCTTCCATTGTTCCTAGGTAGTGAGCATTAGTCAGGAACTTTATGAAATTCTCCTCCTCGTCTCCTCGTGAGTCTCCTCGTGAGTGTGTTGATTCTCCAGTCTTGACCCCCTTATTAATATCATTATTAATTCAGTTTCTTCAGATCTCTATAGCTATTCCCTCCCTAGTACTCATTATTTCATGTGGTAGCGGAGATGGCACTCAGAAGATACTAGATAGCTCCCTAGGTACATAGTCGTAGTTTCAACTCCACATGTTAGAAATTTAAGGTGATTTGATATTGAATTGAGTGGATGATTGGATCGTGGACCTAGGTTAGATGTGACGAATGGGAACGACGGAATGAGATGTCTGAAGGGGGGGAGAGTGATGATTTGTTTATTATTAGCATCATCTCCTTCTAGCTCACAGTTCACTAGGTTTGAAAGTAGCAGCGGGTAGATGAAGTGGATCGATTTAATATAAAGACCTAGATGGTACGGAGGAGTGGTCATTAGGGTTATATGTGAACTTTCGATCCCTGGCATCTCTTTCTTTTTTTTTGTCCTTCTCGTGACATTCTTTCATTTTTCCTTCTCGTCGTGACTGTGACTGTGATTATTTGATTATGATGACCATGCATCGACGCCAGTGAAAGCAGAGGAAAGGAGAGATTCCCGTTTGTTGCTATATGGGAAATTTCCCTTGGCTTGGCTTTCTAGTATCTATCTTGACCTGACCTGACCTTGCCTTGCCTTGCCTTGCATTTTATCCGTATTCCCTCCACCCTTCTTGAATCTTCTACCCTTCTACCTTTCACTCTTTATCATCACATCCATCCATCCATCCATCCATCCATACATACATCCATACATTCATATATTTTGTTCTTTTATGATCTGCCAAGCGTTGCTATGAATGGCCTGGCCAATACCTTCTTCTACTTCTTTTCATTCCATCTACTCTTCGAGCCATAGTCAGAACATATCTTTCCCTCACGGCGATTAATCATCGTTATACGAGAAAGATTCGTGTGATCATTGGACCTTTTTCTATTTTCTCGTTTCTTTTACTCGATGCTCTACTCGTACTGGTATTAACTTTGATTTTTATGTTGTTATTTACATCTTCCAAATATCATCAAAGTCTTCTTCATCAAGGGGCAACTCCACAATACAATATCCCTTAAAGGCCAACAAGCCATTTGGTCAATTCTTTCGTGCATATCGGGGATCACAACAGATTGAGGGGGGATAATAGGGAAAACCCAAAGGAAAAAAGAAAGAGAGGAAATTACCAACGGCAAGAGAATTCTACAGATGATGCCGGTTCGAAACTGCAGCGAGAAAGAATTATTACATACATTATTATCGTATCTATTCTAATCATTCTGCAACATCTTCTCTCGTTGTTGAATACTATCGCCAAAAGTTTATTAAGAAGAAAAAAAAGCCAACAAGATCCCATTTCATTCATTCAATCATTCAATCAATCCAACCTCCAATCTCTCCAATCTCAGATCTCAGATCTCAAATTTGCTCATTCGAAATACATTCATTTTAACTTGCGTTACATCCAAATCATAAACGCTAATTCACTCCTTCATTTTACTGGTACGATTCGATTCAATTCAATTCAATTCAATACAGTTCAATTCGGTTCACTTCAATACCTACATATTCAATACAATACCATTTGTCATTTCTAAGCTTTTTCTTAACGACTTCGCTCTTTCGACTTTCAACTTTCAACTTTCAACTTTCAACTTTCGACTTTCGACTTTCGACTCTCAAACTTTGGAACCTTTTGAACTTCCAAAACTTATTATACACGGCCCGTCACCATCTCCTTACATTAGGTATCGCATATATTCGAATCCACATCTACCAGCTCCAGACCCAACATTTTACGAGAACTTGGACTGCGCCTCCTCCTCATTCACTAACATCTCTCAAACGTTTGATGTTCCCTTGATCATATCTACTGCAGCCACAACGTCTTCTCTACTGTGAATCAACAATACAAGACCAACAAAGGATCGCGCATTGATTACAAAATATAACACAAGACTTCTGGAAATTATCTACAAACTCATGGGAAGGATAGAACAATTTGGACAGAGGAAGTCATCCACCAACCGGCGATATGGCCAACAGACCCAATTTCATTGACCTCCGGTCACAATCGTATGGGGCAATGGGTGGTAGCAGTAATGGTTTACCATCCCCATCACTGCGCTCATTACCTTCTCCCCGTTTACACGTAGCTGGAGATATTCCGCCCGAACTTTCACCTTTGGATGCGTTCGCGGCGCAAAGTCGACTCTTGGCCAGACAGTTGAATGAAAGTACAAATGGAGGAAAGCGCATAAGTCGTCTGCCACCACTTACAATCGCGAACTCTCTCGGCCAATCTCGCCTCGGAAGTTTACGATCTGCCTCTGCCGAAAGACTGGCAGATTCCCCACTGGCCCAATTGTCTCCTACAGAATCTCCTGCTTCTGCTGGCCCGGGACAACAGTTGACAGAGGTCGAGGCACCTATATTCAGACCAATTTCGGTGCATCCTGAGGTGGGAAAGATTCCAGATACTCCAGCATTCGATGTAATTCCCGAGAAGGAAGATGGATTTCGAGGCAGAAGACCACCCCCAAGTCCGACTCCGAGGGAACCACAGAGCATGTTTGGAGCTAGAAGGGATCTTTCGCCAGCGCCCATAGATCAAGATCCTCGTCAACTTCAACACAGACCTGGAAGGTCACCATCTGATGCCCCGTATCGGGGACGTTTGTCTCCACAGCCATCTCGTTCGCCTTCAGCTCCACATCAGGGGCGTAACAATCTTAGACCAGAGCGTTCTCCTTCTGCTCCTCATAATGGACCTGGAAGATCACCTAGACCGGGTCGTTCGCCATCTGGCCCTCACAATGATCGAGCACTTAGGCCCGAACGTTCGCCATCCGCTCCTCAACAACGTATGGGTAGGCCAGGTCGATCTCCTTCAGACGGTCCATATAGAGGGCCACGTTCGCCCAGACCTGGCCGATCTCCTTCCGATGCCCCATCTCGACCTAGCCAGGAATCGATGCGCCAGCGAGCACTTAGGGGACCCGATGGCTCTTTAGCTGTAGGTGGTTATGGCCCAAGAGCTTTGGCACCACCACGAGCACCATTCGCGCAAAGAGCTCCTAGTTCCAGATCTATGTCAATGGAGAGCTCAGATGATGACCACTCACTATCACACGATTCTCCTCAACGCAAACTTTCTTCAACAAGTGCCATGTCAAGCACACCAAACTCTCCATCTTTCAACTCCTCAGTACCACGATCTCCATCGGTGAGCTCCGACTATTCTGTAGACCACACACATCTACCCAGACCTGCATTCAACTTCTCTCGGCCAATTAGTAGATCTAGTAATCACCCAATGGAAGATAAACCAACAATACCTTCCCGACAGGCATCTTCTGACAGCCAGCCTTCATTTATTCTCACGGATGATACTGCTCATACCCCTGTGAGTATGCATAGTGAGGGATTCCCGGATCACAACCTTATTATGGATGGAGCTGCACCATCTTATGTATACTCGACGTTTAATCTACCTAGAGGCAAGATTTTACAAAGAAATTCGGCAATTTTTCAAGAAGGTCAACCGCAAGCTCAATTTGTCTTTGAGCAACAACCCCCTGCCTTCCTGGGCAGTAATCAAACGATTGAAGGAGGACCTCCGCCATCACCTCCATCTCGACCATCAACTTCTTCCAGACCAGATATCTCACATTTACGTCCTTCCCTAGAGCAGGGCTCGGAACCCACAACATTGGCCGAAAGAGGACGAAGCTTAACAGACCCTAGTCATCTTCCATCACCTTTCGACGCACCCCCCACCTTACATAAAGATGGAACGCAAAAGGACAACCGCGCACCATCAATTGCCTCTTCAAATACTACAATAAAAGCTCGATCGCAACATTCACTAGCTCCATCGGCTGAAATGTCTGGAGAAGAACATGTTGCGAAAGCTATCGAGTATCATGAAGCTGGTTCTCTAACCAAATCTACCTATCATCTACGTCTTGCAGCCAGGCAAAATCATCCTACGGGTATGCTTCTCTACGCACTCGCTTGTAGACATGGTTGGGGTATGCGACCTAATCAGAGAGAAGGTGTAGCTTGGTTGAGAAAAGCTGCGGATTCGGCTAGCCTTGAGGTTGCCGATGATGAGGATACGGCAAAGGATGGAAAAGCTGTCGATGTTTTGGAAAGGAAAACTAGAAAGGCCCAATTTGCGCTTAGTATTTATGAATTGGGAGTCAGTCATATGAATGGTTGGGGTATTGAACAGGACAAAGTCCTTGCATTGAGATGCTTTGAGATTGCTGGATGTGAGTTTTATCCTATTTTTGAGTTGGTGCAAATGAAAATTGAGAAAAGGTACTAATATTTTGAATAGCTTGGGGTGATGGCGATGCTTTAGCTGAAGCGGGATTTTGTTACGCGCAGGGAGTTGGGTGTAAAAAGGACCTTAAGAAGAGTGCCAAGTTTTATCGGGCAGCGGAAAGTAAGGGGATTAGTATGATTGGGAATAGTTGGTATGTTTTCTTCTCTTTCACATCTAGGATGCGATATCTGCGGGTGCAAGCGCAAAGATATTGGAGTCAAAGTGGATCAAATATTGAATATATCTAACGCAAAGCAGGATCTACAAATCTAAATACAATGATGATGGAAAAGACGATGTCAGTGGTTCGCCGAATGGGAAAAAGGGTGGAAAGGAAGGTCATAAAAGACATCTTTTCGGTAGTACTAAGTGAGATTCGCGGAAAGATATAAGTGCTAGTGGAGCTTAGTGTGGATACTGTTGATATTTAGGGAAAGGCTTCCATGGAGGCAAGATAAATATTTGAGGGGTTTTCTTTGAGTTCTTTTTTTCTTCTTCTTCTTCTTCTTCTTCTTCTTCTTCTTCTTCGTCATCTTCTTCGTCATCTTCTTTTAAGCATTTCTTGTGTCTGTTTTTTTTATTTCTGCTTCTTCACGGCGAAGAAAAGTGAAAATACCTAGGGAAAAGGGGATTGTTGGTACATTAATGATTCTGCTTTACTCGTTCGTGTTTCTTTTCATGTAAGGCGTTCGTTCACATACCATTTCTAGTAGTCTGATTCATCATATGGGCGGGCTGGGCGTTTAGGTTAGGTTTTGGATTCCTTTTAATGGATGGGTGGATGGATGGATGGATGGTTTGAAAGGAGGAAAATTTGAAAATAGGAGGGGTCTGGAGGGGACTGGAGGGATTGCTGGATAGAGTGGTTGGGATGGGGGAAATGGGGGTTGGATGTGTTGTGTTGTGTTGTGTTGTTTGTGTAGTTTAGTACAGATGTATGGATCTTGTATGTGTACTGTGTACTGTGTATTGTTTATATAAAGTATGTATGTATGTATGTACTTAACGTTAGCGTGGGGACTGTGAAGTAGAGAAGTGTGGTGTAGTGTGGTGTGGTGTGGTGTACTGTGGTGTAGTGTGGTGTACTGTGGTGTACTGTGGTGTACTGTGGTGTACTGTGGTGTGGTGTAGCGAAGTGTAGTGAAGTGTAGCGAAGTGGAAAGGAGAATGAACAGGGAGGAATAGAGATATCAAATGATTCTTCTTTTTTCTTTTTTTCTAAAAAGTAAAATGGAGATTGAGATTGAGATTCAGATTGAGATGACTAGTTTAAGATCGCTTGTGAGGTTTGTGAAGTTTGCGGAGGTTTGAGGTTTGCGGAGGTTTGAGGAGGCGGATTTGTGAGTTGCGGTTGTTGGTTGTGGTTGTGGGAGGCGGGATGTGAGAGGGGAGATGTGAGAGGGAGGAATAGAATAGAATAGAGTAGAGTAGAATAGTCATCATGATCAAAGAGTAGGTACCTAGGTGAATAGGTAGGTAGGTATAAAGCTTGCGAAACTAAGTAGTAATCTAGTAATTTAAATAAGGAAGGGTATATATACTACAAGACAAGCAACCATTCACACAATATCCTTTTCAAAATCGACCAGCTTCAATTTCCGCGCATCCTTGAAATGATACTGCGCCACTTTACTCCTGACCAGGAATCTCGCCGCCGCACTATCTCTCTCGAGCGTGACATATCCACCCGAGCCACTCTCATCGGCTTCCAATAATCCGTTCAACAGCTGTTCGGCCAATTCGCGCATTTCTGCTGCGGCGGCACGTGTTTCGTCCCATTCTTCTTCTTCTTCTTCCTCGTCGTCGTCTGGGTCGAGAGATGGTTTGGGACCCCAGATTTCGTCGATGCGACGCTGGCGCTTGTCCATGTTTGGGTTTTCCTTTGGCTTTTTGGGTTTTCCCTGCGTGCTGAAACCGGCGATGAGGGTTTGTGGAGTGATGGAGAGCATTTCGCCTACGATGGGGCCGCCGAGTTCTTCGGCGGCGAGCATGGATGCGAGATGTGTATCGATGAAGGAATTGAATGCGCGGATTAGATTGCCCGTTTCGGTGTCGTAGTGTGTTTTGCCTCTTTGGAAGGAGGATTGCAGCTCAGAAAATATTTGGGAGGGGGATTTTTGAGTTTGTTGCGCGAGTTGCGTTGTGAGGGCGGAAATGCGCGATTGGAGCGCGGATTGGATGGAGAGGGCATCTTGGTGGTCGGATTTTTCTTTTTGGAGGAGGGTGGTGATGGTGGAGAGGTCATGTGAGCTGGTGGTGATGCATTCTTGGGTTTCTTGGATGCAGGATGTGGTGGTGCGGTGGGCGAGGAGGGCGGGGAGGACGGATTTGGGGGGTGGGAGGTAGGGGGGTGTGGCGGAGAGGGTATCGTATGCGTGTTTCAGAGCGCGGAGTTGGTGGAGGTGGATTTTGGGGTCTGGTGATGGTCCGGAAGATATGGGGGTTGAGGTTTTTGCTCGGAGCTAGGGTGGATTGTTAGCTTAAGATTTTTAAAAATCGATATGGTATTGAGTGGAAATTCACCTTTGCAAGTGCGGCTTCTTGCTCCTTGACTCGATCTTGAAGATCTTGGAGGGTTTGGTCGAGACGCGTTGTATATGCGGCGGAGATTCGAGGGTCTTGATCGATATCCATGGTCAATGGAGTGGGTAAGGGGTTACAAGTTTGATTTTTGATAAGTTATTGAAAATGTCTTGATTGATCCTCTCAATTATCTCATTCAATTCTCGATCGACAGCAACTTGAGACAAGGAGCAGAGGTTGAAATGTAGCGTGTTTCGATTTGACAGCCAAAAACACGTGCAATGCTTTGATTTTATATGTGCACGGATATATTAAGTAGTTTCTATTTTGAAGAAAAGGAGCGGGCCGAAAAGGATTATTGAATGATATTATGTCAAAGATGCGGGAAGGGAAGGGTTGTTTGGTTGATAGATGATCAATATGACTCCAGCTTATTAATATCAAATGGTATTGTTTCTTGTAATTCAATGAATGAGGTGAAGTTATCATCACTCCCGCGTCACTCTGAAATTTGCTATGTATGCCCAGGTGAAGTATGAAGTTGATGTAAAGTTGATATAAACCTGATAACCTTGAATCCCAGGCACAAATACATATCTTTTATGCAAGCATTAATCCAAACCTCCGCAGCAAAAGAGCAAAAGGCCTCAGACCAAACCGACAGCATAACTTTTTTGACGCTAGTGGAGCTTCCCTCGCATCTCAGATCTACCGCCCCAGTACCGCGTAAGGTTCTTTCTTGTTTGCTACTTTCTTTTGAAGTATCTACCTAGGTATTCTATCTAGCACATCTCTTTAAATCATCATCTTCTCCTTCCTCTTCTCTCTTCTTCATTGAAATATCATCCTCTTCATCATCTTCATCATCGGAACGACTTCTTCAATTAAGTCGCTCAATCTATCTACGTAAACCACGATCCTCGGGAAATAAAGATCTACGCGATTTTCAACCTCTCCGAATTTCACCTCCATCTACCCTTTGTTGCTTCTCCATCTCCATCTCCATTTCCATCTCCTGCAACTTTCGATCCAACACGCAGCAAGCTAAACAATCATCGGAATTGAAAACTGGGAACGCAAACCAGTACTTTTTTAGAAAAGCATCAAGACAACGATAACTTGGAATCGTTGGTGGAAAAGCTTAAGGTTTGAGGATAGGTCCCTAATACTGCTTTTTTCTTCCCCAAAAATAAGAGGATTCTTCAAAATCAGTTATCTTCACCTCCAAAACCCTCACATCCATCACAATCACAGAAATTATTCGCCCTCCTTCCAACTTCCAAGAAAATCCCTTTCCAGAGTTTGCAGGTCTATTACAAGTTGTTGTTTTACACCACATCTGCTTCCTCCCCTATCGACATATCTTCTCTTATTCGCAGTCCCCGTCAAAGCACACGCTCCATTCCCTGCTTCCTCCGACCCCAACACCAGCACGTTTTCCTTCGAAGACTCTTCTGGTGTACATAAAAAGCGATCAATCCAAATAGTCATTTGACTTATCTTCCAATCCCGTTCCGATCACTATTCAACTTAAAGTGAAGCAAATACAAAAGAAGAGATTAACCAAATAGCAATCGAAAATGTCGGCCTCGCCTACAACAGCTCCCACTCAATCTACAAAACGTCCTCTTGAGGATCCATCATCCCCTTCTGCACCAAGCGATCAACCAGATGCCAAGCGTCCTGCTTTAGATAAGATTGTAAAGGGTGAAGATGATTCAGAAAAGAAACCATCGGTTATCGAAACCGAGCTCCCAGTCCTCACCAATCCAAATGGAGATGCGAAACCTGATGAAGCCAATGGAGTAAAAGAAGAAGTGAAGGATGCGCAAGAAGATACCGAGGTCGTTGATGCTCCTACTACTGAAGCAACACAACCAATTCAAACAACGGTTCCTACTAAAACCGAAGGCACTTCCTCTGGAAATGCTCTCCCACACGACGAAAGTGGATGGATACATGTTCGATCCGTTATTACAAGTGCCGAAGCTGCTACCGTCATTGGCAAGGGAGGAGAAAATGTCTCCTTGGTCCGAAAGCTTTCTGGTGCAAAATGTACAGTCAGTGATTATCAAAAGGGTGCAGTGGAAAGAATCTTGACTGTCAGTGGTGTTGTTGATGCAGTAGCCAAGGTATGTTTGCTCGTTTCGATATTTGAAGAAACATAATTAATTTTTTGTAGGCATTTGGTTTGATAATTCGAACATTGAACAACGAACCTCTCGAAGCTCCTTCGGACTCTACCTCGAAGACATACCCTCTTCGCCTTCTTATTCCACATATCTTGATTGGTTCTATAATTGGTAAAGGTGGTGTTCGGATCAAAGAGATCCAAGAAGCTTCAGGGGCTCGTTTGAATGCTTCCGATTCGTACCTTCCACTCTCAACTGAGAGGTCACTTGTTGTTCTTGGTGTTGCAGATGCCGTTCATATTGCAACCTATTATATTGGAAGCACATTGTTTGAACAATTGACAGAGAGATTCGGTGGTCCCGCTGCATCTGCTTATGCATCAAGAAGTGGTGGACCTGCAGGTGTGGTCCCAGGTGGTATGCAGGTTGTTCCATATGTTCCACAACCAGCTGGTGGAAACTATGGTCACCCTGACAACCATCGTCGTTCTGACCGTGGATCTCACCATACTCCTGGAAACAGCTATGCCCAACCATACGGTCAAGGACAGGCACCTCAGCAACAGCCAGCTGCTGCTGCACATTACGGTGGACACGCTTCACCAGCCGTTGGCGGTTATGGTGGAGTGGGCCCACAACAACCACAACAAGCTGGCCACGCTGTTCCTCAACCACATGGTGCTACTGGCCCACAAGGTCAACCTATGCCAGGTGCTATCCCTGGTCAACCCTTAACACAACAAATCTTCATTCCAAATGATATGGTTGGAGCTATAATTGGCAAAGGCGGTGCCAAGATTAATGAAATCAGACAATTCAGTGGTAGTGTCCTTAAGATCAATGAGCCGCAAGATAATTCAAATGAGGAGAACTGGTTACAATTACAGGAACGGCAGAGTGTAATCAAATGGCCTTGTAAGTTTCCTCTTCTTTTTAATTACACTTTTTTATGTTACTAATATATGAATAGATTACATGCTCTACTCAAGGCTAGAGAGTGAACGTCACAGAGCTTCAAGCTAAATTTAAGTTGATATATGAAAAGGGTTAGATATGGGCAAGGAAAAGGAATTCCTTTGGCAATATGTGCTATTAACAATCAGAAATGAATCTTTTTATGGATGTTAATGGCCTGGTTGGCGGAATGGTGGCTTGCTTGCTTTTTCATGGCGTATATTTCCCTTGGGAGTGAAAAGATCTCTCTAAGCAATTGATAAAAAAAAGTTAATGATGGGAGAATGAGATCCTGATTGATTGATGGGAATCTGACCCGCGATGGAAATCAAGTGCATGGAAACGAGAATGATGGGAAAGATGCTAATAGGGAAATTGGTATGCAAGGAAAATCATGATGCATGATGGATGATAGGCTAGGGTGATATGAATTGTGAAAAATTGCTATATTATGATGATCAGAGGTTCTCTTGATTGTGTTTGTGGGATTGGAGAAGCATTTGAAATTGAGGTGATCTGAGGTGAGGTCAGGTGAGATGGAATGATAGTGTATAGATGGGATGATTTGTGATTTTGTGATGTGTTCCATTCTACAAGTGTTTGCTGTGTTGTGTTGTGTTGTGTTTAGTGATCTTGTGTATATGATATTTTGCCATATGGGTTGGATCACTAATATCTATTGACTTGATGATTTGATAATAAGATGTTGATTTTGATCGTAGGAGCTGCGGTAAAAGCTCTAGGAGATATCTAGTGAGTGAGTGAGTTGGAAATCAAAGTGTACCTACGAGGTTTATGTGATCTGAGCTGCTGACATCTAAGTGCCGTGTTCGTGTTGGGTGGGGGTAACTAAGTACCTAGGTAGGTCGGTAAGGTAAGACTTCAGATATGTTTAGCTGCTGGCTTGTCACTATAGATATTTATCATCTATTGTCTATCATATAACTCCTGGTATAGATAGATATATTGAGCACAGAATTCTATTCTTATTTTCGATTTCCATTTCGGCTTCGGCTTCGGTTTTGATACTTGTTTGCACTTGGATAACCCGGACGGTTTGGACATCTTAAAAGATCTATACGTGCAAGTACGAGAGGGTTGGTGGACAAACGTATTGGGGATATCGATACAGATTCAATCATAGCTACGTGAGTTAGGGAACAAGGAAATAGTGTCGAAATGGCTATGCGGTCGGTGGTTAGTGAGTCTGGGTATGATGGACCGGTCACGGAAATGGTGAGGATTGGGTTGAGAGGGGAGATAGGGGGAGGGGATTTGGAGGGGGACGGGGAGGGAGAGGCGGAAGAGGCGGCGAGGATTTGTAAGTGTGTTTTGTTTTCTTGGGGAGGGGTATTGGAGTTGGGATGATGTTGGGGATGATCTAAGTAGGGTAGTGCTTCAAGTGGGCAGTACGGTTTGGATATTTGGGATTTGAGTCCAGAGGTGAGAACTTGGAAGTGAGATTGACCGGATGGGAGGTAAGTGATCACGAGTGTGTTGGATCCGGTTTGGAATGAGGGGAATAGGGATAAGGATAGGGTGGGGAGTAATTGAGTGGCTTGCTTGGATTCAAACTTGTCACGGTTCGATTTCGGCTTTATGGAACGGATAGATGGATGAATGGGTGAATGGAAGGATGGACTGAGAGGAATTCAAAGAATCAGACTAATCGATATAACCTATATAGGGCGTGAAATTCTAGATACAATTGCGGCCCAAAAAGGATGTACAAATTCTTATTACGGCGGAACATTGGAGGATGAGGGAGTGTTGATTTGGTGTATTGGTTTGTTTTCTCCTTTTATTGCTTCTTTACTGATTTTGACTACGTTGAGAACTCTCCTGTCACTTATCATTTGCTCTTTTTTCTCTTCATGTCTATCCCCTCCATTCATGTCTTCCACGATCTTCCTACACAAGTTCAATTCTATCTATATCTATACTAACCCCCAATCCAAAGACTGGACATCTCTCGCTCTCCACAAAGCTTTTATGGATTCGCCAGCCTACCCAGCCTTTCTAGAAAACCTGCAGCCGATTATGGGCAGTGTGGAAATCATACACGCAAGCAAATTGGATGTTGTGGGCGCTATTGCAAAAGGAAATGCGGAGCAGAAGGGGGGAGTAATGGAAGTTGCTACGTTTTATGATGTGGAGGATGTTTTTCTTGAGGTAGGTGGTGTTTTATCATTATTTATCATTTGTTGTTTCCATCCAAATCTAAACCTAAATTTCGATGAATTGAAAGAAGGGTGAGAATAAGAGGATGAGAATCAGATCAAGTAGAAGACTAAGAGGGGTAATCAGGGAGTAGAAAACTTCAAAACGGCAATGCGCAAACTTCACTCGGAAAAGAAAATCGCGGGGTTTCTTGGCGTGATAGATTCCGGAGAGGTAATTGAGAAGATCGCTAGGAATAAAGAGGCGATGGAGGAAGAAAAGGGGAGAGCTTTGATTATAATGATAGGGTGGGAGAATAAGGAGGCTCATATGGTGGGTATTCATTTATTACTTTGTTGTTTCTTTTTCGAATTTTGGAAATTTGAGGCCGGTTTTGATATAGTGGTGGGAGTCTATAGATGGGGAGATGGAAGAATTTTGGGGCTAATGTGAGATTTGAAAAATAGGCATTTAGAGAGACAAAGGAATTTGCGGACACTATAGGATATTTGAGAAAGGGGACGAGTGGGGCGGACATGGTGAGTTTACGCTTTTCTTCTTTTTTGCTTCTGATCTTCTGGAGATGATAATAATGGATGGGATTATGAGAGAGATTGTGAGAAGATGGATATGAGAAAAGTATTACAGAGTCGAGAGAAGAGATGACTAACTCATGTATATCAGTTCCATGTAGCGTTTAAAAATGCATGAGTGTGCGATGCGGATTGATAGATATTTCTGCATTACAATACAATTCATACAATCCAATACATACTCCCATATCCAATATCCAATATCCATACAAATATCACTCCCTAGGTCTTCCATTCTGGGATTCTCAAAGTCAGATATGTATGGGTTGTTGGGTATCATACACATATATCAAACAATAACTCGTCAATATCCTCAAACCATCTTTGAATATACTCTACTATGAGCTCTCTATCGAATACCTAATCACATGAACTGAGAATCTCATCCCATGTAATAAAAGAAGTCTTTATTTGCTCCGAAGCATAACAACGAGTTCTTGGTAGATTTTCATATTGGAATTTACTTTCTATTTATATGATATGATACCATATAAACCTTTTACAGACATGCTGAGATATATAACATCTCATCTCATTATATACTTATTATCTATCTTTCTATCTATCTATACCAATTACTCTTAATAAATATAATATTATATTATATCTCAATACCCACCTAGGTAGGTATGGATACCTGAATATAACAATCAACTCCCGAATAGTCAATTTCATCTCGTTTATTTAGTTAGAATTGAGTTGTGTATAAGGAAGAGGGGAGAGGAAAGAGAGAGAAGAAACTAACGAATGAATATATAGTTATAAACTTAATATATAGTAGGTTACTAGACAGAATAAGCGAGATAGGTATTTCTTCATGTATCATAGGTATTCATCTCTTCATAGAACAAAGAAAATCACATTACGTTGGAATGGTTTTAATCCTCTGATGATTTAGGATTTCTTCTTCTTTTACTTCTACTTCTACTCCCATACTCACTCCCACTCCCACTCCCACTCCATCTACATACCCCGCCTAATTCTCACTCGCCATCTCTCTTACACACTACACTACACTACACTCACTTCCATCCCATCCAAATCCAAATCCAAAATCAAATCCAAAATCAAATCCAAAATCAAATCCAAAATCAAATCCAAAATCAAATCAAACTACCCACAATATATAATATACAATATCCACAATCCTCTGCAGCTCTCCAGCTCTCCAGCTCTCCAGCTCTCCAGCTCTCCAGCTCTCCAGCTCTCCAGCTCTCCAGCCACCATACTCAACCTTCCACAAGTGTCCCAACCTATCAAGATACTTCACATAGATAATACCAGTATATCAACATCAACATCAACATCCATACCCACGAGATTTCCTCAACCAGTGCTGTAATTCTTTAGTGCTTCTTTCATTATACTGTACATATCATTTGGTCTGTTACTGTGTTTAGTTAATCTATATTGGGAATTATAAAGCTATAAATCTATAAATCTATAAATCTATAAATCTATAAATCTATAAATCTATAAATCTATAAATCTATAAATCTATAATAAACAAACAACACTCTATCCATCTCTCCCAGATATCTTATATATACTATACTATAATATAATACTCTCCTCCTCATCTAACCTCATTAACTCCCCCCCCCACTCTCCCCCCATTTATTCTCTATGAGCGTATGGTGTCTGTCTCTCTAATTCTAATAAGTATATCTCTCCCTCCATCTCATCATCCGTTTTCATATATGTACACATACACAAGTATATACAAGTATATACAGATACACATACATATATACAAGCACATACACAAGCACATACACAAGCACATACACAAGCACATACACAAGCACATACACAAGCACATACACAAGCACATACACAAGCACACTCTCACCCACCCATTATTCATCAAATGAACCAAAAGCCTTAATACAATCAATCAGTCGTGCATAAATTTCCAAAGTACTGGAGAGAAAACAGCGATACTTCCTTCTAAAACATGAAGAATATCTTGCGACTGTGGATGCATGTTCGAAGAGAAATCCAGAGGGATAGGGAAGGAGGATGAGTTTTGAAGATGCTAGATTAAACATTCGCATAGCCACCAGAAACAGTAATTCACACTTTAGAAAAGCGAAGAAGGTCACCCGGCCACTATAATAAAGTTTCAAATAGACGTAGACAGGTATACAAATAAATATATTACACTCAAGCTTATTATACTTGAAAAAATTACTTCCCCTCCAATATCATTAATTCATATTCATATTCATGCCCATTCATCCAGCCCAGAACCTCCCCAGACCGACCAACCCGAAACCAGCCTCATGCAATCCAATCCAACCAATCGATCATTTTTTTTCTCAAAACATAACCTTATCATGATATCATTCGAACATATAGCAAACATTCAGCCCATCTCAAACTCTCACTTTTATCATCCAATGCAATTTACAACGCCCGCCAGCCATGCATGTCAATAGACTATTTAGCATGCGCGACGATTTCCGCATAAACATCATCCGGAATTTTCTTGATGATAGTAAGTGTAACTTCTTTAATGGTGTCCGCTTGTAAAGGAGGGAAAGATCTGAGAATCTTCGTAGGACTTTGATTTTCGTTAGTTGAATTCATATATAATAGAAGCAACCTCCAGAACTTACCTAGGAGAACTCATTATTGAATGCCTGAGAATAACGAGTTGTGCCACAATACAAAGAATATTGAGATGAGCACCATAGGCAAATAAGAAATCCCAAAGACGAAGTACCTCGGGTAACGGGGGAGTACATGCGCATAGAGTGAGTACTGAAGGGAAAGCATAAATTTCTGCACTCATACCCTTTCCAATCAGATAAAGACTCAATTTTGGATCAACAATAGCTAGAACTTTATCCACTAATGCGAGTCCTTTGTGAACACCATCCATAGCACCTCTCACATAACCAGGAACTTCGGTTGTTATGAAGCGATGAAAAGCAGCGAATGCTTCAGATTCGCTACGGGCAGCATAGAGAAAGGGTGCAGCGAGTACATTCATGCCTTGAACATATGTACCCGGTTCTCCAGCCCCGACATCAGAACCTTCCGTTGTTAAAGTCAGAGCACGAGCTCTAGATCTCATACTGGGTGATGATGAACCTCGTTCCGGAGAACCTTGAATAGCCGCGTCCATAATCTGTCTATTCTGTATATTTCTGTATTCTGCTCGCGCCTCTTTCGCATCGTGCAATCTCCATGCTACTGCATTTAAAAGTCGGATTAAGCTTGCTTCACTAACTCGACGTCGAAAAAGAGGATCGGTGGCTAGAGTTCGAAAGGTATCATTTCGAATTTTGGAATATGCGGGAGATGCACCGCGATGGATCAGAGAGAGATATGCGTCGGTTTCAAGGGTAGGTGCATTGAGTAATATAAGCCAGATGTAAATGCGCAAAGAGGACTATTGACAAATAAGTATTTGTTAGCAGAAGTGGTGGAGTGGAGAGGGAGGAATTGACAAACCATTCCATCGCTATCACCCTTAACCCCTTGATCCAATATCTTCAATCTCATACTCTCCAAACTTCCAATTATATCTCCATCGGGGGGGCCCTCTCTAAGTAGACGATCCAACGACATACTTTCTGTCGCAGTAAGTTTTCTGTTTGACGTAGGGCGCCTCATCGAAGAAGTTGGGACTGGGACTATATTCGTTACATCACTATTGGATCTTGCTCTGGAATGAGTTGTCGCTGAAGATTTTGTGGCATCTTTTGGCACGGGCGGAATAATCTTTTGCAAAGCTTGCTTATGTTGCTGTGAGATCAGGGATGGTTGATTGAATGATGAACCTAGAGTGTGCGCGGACTGTAATCTTCTTAAAGCTCGGCGGGGAGATGCTGGCGGATTGAGTGCAGAATGATTTGGAGGGGCCAGTGTAGGAAATTGAAATGCGTCTTTGGTGGGGGATGAAGATGCCATTTTGCTATCGCATTGTTTGTTGATACGGATTGAGTGATGGAGTGAGGATAATAAATTCGATTGTTTGTTCTTGAGATCCAGATGGTGAATATGATTATGTGAATATGATGATGTGAATACAATCAATCACATGAAGTATGGTATCGTTCTATCTTCTATTGTACCGTCTGTTATCAAATTGAGTTGTTGTCATGTCAGCAGAAGTCTGAGCGAAGAGTGAAGAGTGAAGTCTGAAGTCTGAAGTGTGAAGTGTGGTTAAAGTGAAGCTGGGGCTGGTAAACCGCGAATTTCGTGATAATACTTATACATACATAACTTACGACAACCACAAAAACCTACCTACCTAATGTACAAACCTACAACGATATTATCAACACTTCGTTCAGATGTTGATTGAAGTCGAATGACAATGATGTCCTTCTCACTGTCTTTCTGCTTTGACTTCAACCCAACAACATGTCGACAAGGGACCTAGGTACGGAGACAGAGTCTGGAAGACCGCGAAAGGCCGCATGAAAATACCATCACGTGGTTAAATATCATGTGATATAGAATAAATCTTCCACTTCGACATGAGTCTTCAAATCTTGGAAATTTGGAGGCAAAAGAGGAAGCTTGATCGGATTTTGAAAGCGTTCTCGACAATCTCTCTCATCGACGCGGTGAATACTCTTTTATCAGCCCCAAACGCTCCATCCGCAGACCCTATTGTTAGGACTAACTCATATTGTATCTCCCAAGACATTTGGCTGACGGGAGGTTCCTTCATCCTCATCTCCGCGGGTTCTTGTTGGTAAGGGAAAGATACCATCTCCAGTATGGTGGTCTCGATGTTCAATAATCAAAATACAATTTTGCACTCCATCCCATTTACAATATAGATCTCAGCTCAGAAATATTAGCTTTTAAGCCTCCAAGCCTTTCAAGCCCCCAGAATTTTGAAATTATCATGATGTCTCGGAGCTTTTCAAGCCTCTTCTCATCCTTATCGTATCTTATCGGATTGCGATCTTCATCCCTCCCATTGCATCATGAAGCAAAACGGTCATTGGGTGGACATTTCCCAATGGATAATCCGCGTGCTGCAACTTGCATGAACAAGGTTTGAGCTACCCTTGCCTGGCAATAGCCGAATCTACTGCTTGAAAGAGACAGCTTTGTGAAATTGTCAAAAATCATGAAGAGCTGATCTTTTATTTACTCCCTAGACAATAGACTCATGAGGAAATGAATGAGAAAACGCCATACTAATGATTCATTTCTTCATTTCTTTATTCAAACTCCCCTTTTCTCTTTATTCCTTGCCGCCAATGATTGGATATTGTACACAATAGAGTTTTCAGCTGTTCACATTTCCAAGATTCCAGATGGAAAGAAAGCTCTTTTTAATGCTTTCCTTTGTCTTCTTTTGGTCCCTGGAGATCTACGCAGTATCTCCTTCATCTTCGCTTGACACTAATTTATAATTTCGAAAAACTAGATCAATTTTAGCGAATTGCGTGCTCGGCAAATACGTCGACATGTTGAAAACATTCCCACCTCGCCCACTTCATCCACTACAAGTCCATTTATTTTGTTCCGGATTCACAAAGAGCTGTCCCCATTTCCCTTGGTTCCCTTGCTCTCCTTGGAGATTTCTACGGAAGATCTAGGCGGAAACTCTGTGTTCAACCAAATTAAGATCGGGGTAAAGAAAGCATAATTATGGTAACAATGGTAATGATGATTACATATCCACTAAAATGTGGTACATGTAACACTAGATCAACTTTGCCATGAAATAGACTGACAGGACAGTACGTAGTATACTACCGAGACTACTTATGAAAAGAAGAGAATTTTATAGTAGAGAAGAAATGGGTAAAAGAAATGGCTTGAGAAATGGCCAGAGAGTATTTCTAATCCCCCCTCCCCCCCTGATAAATGACTTCCCATATTATTCGTACACCGAATACCTGTGGTTACGTTTACACCCAAATCAATTCAAGACATTTGATTGTGAATTGAGGTTCAAACTTATACCCTTGGTCCCTTGGAGATTGAAGCGCTTTTTCTAGAGTCTAGAGTACCTACAGTACCTCTTCTTGAGTCTTGAGTCTTGAGTCTCGATACATCTCAAAGTTGTAGGATACTCCCTACCCTGTTGTAGTTGTATCAAGAAAGAGTAGCCATCCGCTACTGCCATCTCCACGTCCCCATAACAAGAAAATCGAATTCTAGAAATTGAGAGAATACCAATTAAAATACATACCAAACCCATTCTTAATAATTATCATTGGATCATTACCATAAGTAGGTACTTCCACCATGTTTAGATATACATCCATCAAACCACTTTATATTGTATGTACCCTTGTCAACTAATGTCATCTCTCCAGCACGATCCCGTCACCACGAATATCCTCTTCCATTTCGAGACAAATCTCCCGCAAGTCGTTCTAGCTTCACAGTAGTATAATATTAAAACCCCCAAACTCGAAGAATTTGCAAGCCCATTAAACTTGGCTTGACGTCTACTACCAAAGTATTTCAATTCAAAAGGCTCCAAATTCCAGATCAGCCTAAGGTTGCACACAGGGATTCACTTATTTACCTGGCCGTTTCCTTTGCTCTTCTCTCTTCCATCTTATTCATCCACGAGCACGCAATACATTGGTGGCGCACCCCCAAATTTCAAAGAGGTCAATTGCTGAATGCCACTCTTGGATCACGTCTTACCTTTTCAAGTCTTTCGAGAACAAAAGCCTCTTTTTTCCAATCAGAAGCTGCACTATCTATTCCAGCCTTCGAACTGCATTTGAATAGTTCCGATGTCAGACAATTTTACTTTTCACTAAATCCCATTTTTCTCCAATTGTCAGATAAAAATATCATCTGATTTCGACCCGACTTTCTGGGAGCAGATACGGCTATATCAGCCCTGCATCCGCTCACAAAGTTTCAGATTCTTGGATAACCATCTGGGAGTAACTTGCAGATCGCCTTGTCATATCTGTCAGGTCAGATCTACTGACACCCACCCTTTGCGGAATAGCCTTTTCCCTGTCCACTTAATCTTCCGCTCTCTCAGGTTTCACAGCCAAGTTGCTTTTTACCACAATGGCTGCTACCAAAGTTGGCCATGGATTGGCGAAGGTCCTTGGTATCAAACTCAACTATCGCGATGAACTCAACAGTCAGGAGATTCTACGAGGAGAGTCAGTCTTTTCCATTCAAACAGCCGATACATTCGTAGAGGAAGAACCTCGAAGTCTAGAATGGATCCAGGATACCCTTCCAAGTCGACACGATCTCGCCGCTTATGGCCGCTCGCTATTTCCATTTTTAAGTTGGATTGGATGCTATAATTTGCAATGGTTGTTTGGAGATTTGGTAGCTGGTGAGTAGCACCGAATACTTTCTGATGAGTCTGATTGTTAATGTCGATCAGGTATTACTATCGGTGCTGTCGTCGTACCTCAGGGTATGGCTTATGCTACTCTCGCTGAGCTCGAACCTCAATTCGGTCTTTACTCATCCTTCATGGGAGTTCTTGTCTACTGGTTCTTCGCTACGTCAAAGGATATCACTATCGGACCTGTTGCTGTCATGTCGACTCTCGTTGGTCAAATTTTGGTGAAAGCTGCTGTCACCCATCCTGATGTTCCTGGTCATGTCATTGCATCTTGTTTGGCTGTAATTGCCGGTTGCATCATCGCTTTTATTGGACTTATTCGATGCGGTTGGATTGTCGATTTGATTTCTCTCACTTCAATTTCGGCATTCATGACAGGTTCCGCTATCAATATTGCTGTTGGACAAGTTCCAACCTTGATGGGTATCACAGGCTTCAGCTCCAGAGCTTCAACCTATAAGGTTGTGATCAACACATTGAAGGGTCTTCCCAATACAAAACTTGATGCAGCCATCGGCTTGACAGCCCTTTTCCTGTTATATGCGCTCAGAGCTGTAAGTTGTGAACCTTTGCCAACACCTTGATCATTACTAATTATCATTTTTAGGCCTGTAATTATGGAGCTAAGAAGTTCCCAAACCACAAAAGAGCATTCTTCTTCGCCGCAACTCTTCGAACCGTATTTGTCATTTTGTTATACACATTGGTTAGTTGGCTTGTAAACATGCATCATCGCAAAAAGCCACTCTTCAAGATTCTTGGTAAAGTTCCACGAGGATTTCAAAATGCTGCTGTGCCAGAAGTCAACTCTTCGATTATCAACGTCTTTGTAGGAGATTTACCAGCCACCGTCATCGTTCTCCTTATCGAGCACATCGCAATTTCGAAATCCTTCGGGCGTGTCAACAACTATGTTATCAACCCATCTCAGGAGATGGTAGCTATTGGTGTCACCAACATCTTTGGTGCTTTCCTTGGTGGTTATCCAGTCACCGGTTCTTTCTCTCGTACAGCTATCAAATCGAAGGCTGGCGTTCGAACTCCATTCGCTGGTGTCATAACCGCTGTCATTGTTCTTCTTGCTATCTACGCACTTACGGCAGTCTTCTTCTACATTCCAAGTGCAGCTTTGTCTGCAGTCATTATTCACGCTGTCGGAGATCTCATCACGCCTCCAAATACCGTCTATCAATTTTGGCGTGTATCCCCTCTCGAGGTTCCGATTTTCTTCGCAGGTGTCATTGTTACCGTTTTTACCACCATTGAAGATGGTATCTACGTAACCATTTGCGTTTCATTCGCCGTTCTCATTTTCCGAATCATTAAGGCTAGAGGTCGCTTTCTTGGTAAAGTCAAGGTTACTTCAATCGGAGGTGAAATTGCCGAATATAGATCAGCACCTTTGGCCGACAATGGCACTTTCCCAAAATCTGATGCCACTCAATTCGAAGATTCTGGATCTCGAACAGTCTTCCTTCCTTTCGACCACGGTGATGGAACTAATCCAGAGGTTGATGTTCAAACTCCTTATCCTGGCATCTTCATCTATCGATTCTCAGAAGGATTTAATTATCCAAACGCCAATCACTATCTCGATCACCTTACCAATACAATCTTTGCAACAACCCGTCGAACCAACCCTGACCATTACGCTCGACCTGGTGATCGCCCATGGAATGACCCCGGTCCACGTCGCGGCAAAGCTCCTGAAGATCATAGCGACCGCCCTACCCTCAAAGCTATCATCCTCGACTTCAGCTCCGTTAATAATGTCGATATAACCTCCATCCAACAACTCATCGATGTCCGTAATCAACTCGATACTTATGCGTCTCCTTCAGTCGTAGACTGGCATTTCACCTCTATCAATAACCGCTGGACCAAACGTGCTCTCGTTGCCGCTGGATTCGGATACCCAACTCCCGAGGAAGAAGGATCACACCGCTGGAAGCCCATTTTTTCGGTTGCGGAAATGGGAGGTCAAGATAGTGCGGCAGCAGCAGCAGAAGCTGAAACCAACGAAAAAGAAATTAAGGAACAGCGAACGCGCGAACGGGATCTGAGAAATGGAGATCAAATTAGAGGAGATAGTGAGAGTGGAAGTGGCAGTGATTTGAAAGCTGTGTCGAAGAACGTCACGAGGTCGAGAACAGCTGTTGTTACCGGTCTCAATAGACCATTGTTCCACGTCGATCTTACGAGTGCGTTCCAGAGTGCAGTGGCTAATGTTAAAGCAAGAGAGGCGTTTGAGGAAAGAGGAGGTAGGGATACCGGGGTTGTGGCTTAAATTTTGGGGATTTCTGACGTTTTTGTTTTTGGATTGGTTACTTTTTTGGTCGTTTTGATACCACGAGTGCTTGGATATGATGATAAAATTATGGGTTTGGCAGGATGTTGGATGACTGGTCGGGCTGTTTCTATACGAAGTAATGGTCATGTACCGGATTCGGATTCACTTCCTTGAATAATATATAAAGACTTATTTCTGTGGAAAATTTCCCGTTCGTGTTTGGTTTGCAACACGAAATCGTGATATTGAAGTTTTCCTTGCCGTCGTCGACCTATGTCACTTATATAGGCTACGTCACTTATGCAGTTGCATGCTACGGCGCGAATTTATGATTCCATCAAGCCAAACGCACCAAGCCAGCTCGAGCATAGATAGGAATTCACTGTGCTAGATTTGTATGCTTTAAAAATCTACATGCCAATATCAACTTGTAGCGCAAAATACAAAAGGGCTGAGCTTGTCATACGCTTGTTCATCAGTCCAATAGTAAGTATCAATCTCCTCTTATCGAACAAAAAAAAAGCAATTCCAACCGCTCTAAACATGTGCCGCAGCCCAATGATCCAAAGTTTTTAGATAAGATAGGATGAACCCGTCCTAACATTAATATAATCCAACATGTTGGTAGATCATATTATGATGACGATAAAGCGAGGCGAGGGGACTTTAAACTTGGTTATCCACGAAGTTCTCTCACAACTCGATATTGAAATTGTCTCACTTATAAACCTCTCAATAATCCTTCTTAATCATGAGGGCCACCACCTATCTAGCTCTAGCGACTACGGGAGTATTATTCACCGTGTATCTATACAAGAAACTTTCCGAACATCTCACCATCACAGACCTCGAACGCAATAATGGCTGCATGCCGCCAAGGAAATATCCACACAAGGATCCGCTTCTCGGACTCGATTTCTTCTTCAAGATGGGCGCGGCGATGAAAGCCGGAAAAGTACTCCAGACAAACCGAGAACTTTACGCCAAGTATGGGAAAACCTTCCAGAGCAACTCCTGGGGAACATCAGCCATCCACACCTGCGAATCCGAAAATATCAAAACGGTCCTCGCGCTTTCGTTTGGGTGTTTCGGAAAGGTGAAGGTGAAGCCGGAGAAAAGGGGTGGATCGCTAGAGGCCCAGGGAACCTTTACCGCGGATGGGAAGATATGGCAACGCTCGCGTGCGCTCATTCGACCGACGTTTGCGAGGACTGAGATTTCTAATTTTGGGGCTTTGGAGAAACACGTCGCGCGGTTTTTGGAGCTTCTTCCGTGCGATAACTCGACGGTTGATTTGCAACCGCTTACGTAGAATTTGGTATGGTGAATCTTTCCTTGCGATTTTTTGTTTTGTCATGGCTGGATTACCATGATCTGCTTGTTTGACTGACTGAGTGTCTGTCTCTTTCCTAGTCTCTAGATATCTCCACCGAATTCCTGTTCGGTGAATCGGTAGAATCTCAATCCCCGAATACCCCCTTTGATGCTCTAGAATTCCTCAATGCATTCGATATGACTATGCGTGGTCTCGGCGCACGAATGATGCTTGGCAAGCTGAGATTCATTCGTGGTCGAGATGTCGAGTGGAAAAAGGCTTTCGGGAAAGTGCACGCCTATATTGACAAACACATCTCTCGGGTTCTGGAGGGTCAGAAGAGTGCCGAGAATAATGAAGAGGAAGATAAGAGTGCCACTCAAAAACAGTATATACTCTTGAACGAAATGGCAAAGGAAACGCAGGATCCGGTTGATTTACGCTATCAGCTTTTTCATGTCTTTATCCCCGCTCATGATGCGACGGGGATAGCTGTTAGCGATATATTTTTTCATCTAGCTCGTGATGCGCATCGATGGGATAAACTGCGGGGAGAAGTACTCGCTGCGACGACCGGACAGACGCTGAGTTTCGAAATCCTGAAGTCAATGAAATATTTACGATATGTGTTTGATGAAAGTACGTATACTTGTTTCTTGCTTGACATCGTTCAAAGATCCCCATCTTCTTGGTATTTTCCAGTAATGTAAGATCCAGTCTAATCAACCATTTCCCCAGGTCTCCGTCTTCACCCCACCGCAGGCTTTCTACGGCGAGTATGTCACAAAGACACCATTTTACCACTTGGCGGTGGCCCTGATGGGAAGGCCCCCTTCTTAATCAAAGAGGGTAGTAATATCACATGTGATATCTACGCATTACATCGCGACAAAAGCTACTGGGGCAACGATGCCGATGATTTTCGTCCCGAGAGATGGGAGACCTTGCGACCTACTTGGGAATACCTTCCATTTTCAGGGGGACCGCGCATTTGCCCTGCTCAGCAGATGGTTTTTATTGACTCGGCGTATATTATTGTGAGGGTAATGCAGAAGTTCTCGAAAATCGAAAGTCGGGATTCAAGACCTTGGATGGAACGGTTTAGAATGGCGGTGGAGAATGGGAATGGGGTGAGGATTAGGTTGTTGCAGGATTAATTAGATGTTTAGGGGAAGTTTGAGGAGATTTTGCACATAGTTTATTCAGACTAGAGCAAAATGTATCCTACCCAGATTTTACTTCGTCTGTTGATTCTTCTTAAATTATCCGATCGAGTCAACAGACCAGCATATTTTAATAGGGACACGAAATAAAGTAGGGTTGTGTAGAACGCCTCCGATAATAATATGTTTGTTAGAGGTATGTATAGAGAGCTTACTTATCATTTTCTCTCTTCATCTTCCAGTGCGTCAATAAGATCTTCCCATTGATCGCCTAGTCTGCCAAATTCCGAACCAAATTCCGAACCAAATTCCTGGCTCCAATAAAATCCACAATAATAACATAACAGGTTCCACCCGCAACCTGAAGACTTTTCAGGATACTTGTGAAGTATGAATTAATACGTAGACTGCACTTACAGAAGAAAAAGGAGATGTAGGGGGAAAATATTACGGAGACGCCCCATTAGTTAGTACTGAGGTACGAGAGACTATAAATAGTGGTGAAAGAATCTGGGATACCAGAATGCAGCCCAAAGACACCGAAGTATCTGAATGTGAGATAAGCCGAGGCCTGTTGTAGATTTTTCGAATGGAGAAAAAGTCCTGTGATGCCAGGCTTGATCCGCCAGAACATGAAAACTAAGAAGGCAAATCTTCAGTCGAAATCGTATCGCCTAGGTATTATACCACCTGAACATAATAAATTGTCACTCAATACTGTTCATTCTATCCACCCAATCCATATAGTCCACTCCGTCAGAATCAGACCAAATCAACTCCTTACTCCTCTTGACCCCCTATTCAGCATCAACAACCCTCACCTCCCTCGCGACCACGTTGCAAAGCTCAACCCTGAGCCCCGCCCCTAGAAGTACATGTATCCACAATCTTTGCGTGTCGCTTAGTCTATCATTCTCGCTTTTGACTTCTACGAAGAGTACTTCTTTTTTCCTTCTCCTTTTGATGGTGTCTTGTGGCCCATTTTTGTACTCATTCTTCACTTGCGGCCCTTTCTTTTCTTCCTCGACCTTTTCGGGAGTTTCGTTCTTGATATCTTTCTCTTCCTTCAATTTCCTTTTCACCGGCTCTTGTTTCGTTGGCTCATCCTCCGCTTCTTCCTCCACTCCATCATCCCATAAAAACAAATCAGGCACTCCACCCCCTCTCACCCTATACTCCTCCGCCATAACCCTCATCACCTTCCCCAGCCCACTCCCAAAAGCCTTCACAATCCCCTCCAAGTCCTTCCTCTCAAAGTCCCATCTCAAACCCACTACACACGTCTTTCTCTCTCCTTCTCTCTCCCAAACTCCCCTTATAATCTCCGCCGCCATTCCATTCTCAATCTCTACAATGCGATGATTGATTTCCGACGCTCGAGCTTCATAGAATGACTCGGTATGTAAGTCTAGAGGGCAAGTTTGGTATTCTGTCTGAAATACATTGGGGATGTAAAGAAATAGGATGTCGAAAAAGAGGTATGCGAATAGAGTGCGTAGAATGCCACCTTCGGAGTGGTAGCCGCGGAACCCGAGACTGCGATAGTAGCTTAGAGTTAATTGTTCAACAGAACATTCGGATGGGCTTGATGGAGATTCATATTCATCTAACCAAATGGTTTTGGTACTGCGTTGTCTCTCTTCAAATCCATTGGGTGCGCTGGACTTGCGTCGGAGAGTTGTGGGGGTGATATACGACTTTTTGATTTGAATTCCTTGAATAGTTGTTTCGATGGGTTTAGAGAGAAGAAGATGCTCAAAATCGTGTTTTTCTCTCTTAGGAATCTTAAGTGTCTTCTCGAGTTTACGGATTCGTTTCTGTAAGTCGTAGTGATAGATTGTATGGCAATGTCGATCTTGAAGACCTTGCTCACATGTTTTTAGCGAAATACGTTTCCAATGACGTTTTTGTTGTTCTAGATCTTTAATTCCTGGGGTTGGGAGGAGATTATACATATAATGTTCTTCTAGAAGAGCTTTACGTTGATACCATGCACCCCTTCGGGATGAATGAAAAAGCTTCTGAGAAAGGAGTTCGATGAGTAGAGCGTATTCTTTTTCGTAGAACTTAAATCGTCCGAGTACGTAGAGGGCTTTATGCACGATGCGTGTGTAGACCCATGCTGGAGAAAATCGACGAAGGTAGCCACCCTCTCCACTTTCATATATGGAGTCTTCTTTGCGTTGTTCTTCTTCCAGGAGAATCTTCCAACGGGGATATATGGCTTCGAAAGTTTCAAGAACTTGGTCTAGGTCGGATTTGCCTGGATGGCCGTCGAGAATGTTGTCGACGCGGTATTGCGTTCGAATTGAGGCTTCAAATTCGAGGAGGGTGGAACGGGTGGGGAATATATTGGTTGATCGTGAGACAATATAAGAGGGGAAGTTACGGCGGGAGATTCTGGCAAGAATGATTGTGGTTAGAGACTTATCGGTCCATTCGGTTGATCTGTAAAAGACGAGATGGACTCGTTCGAATAAGTTTAAAGCTGGCAGTGAAAGTCGTATACACGGTCCTGTGATAGCCATGATCTTTCTGAGGAAATGAACATCTCTGTTCACATGATCGAGACTATCGTCTTCATCTTCGAGAATCGATCCATCTGGAGTTGTAGGGTTTGATTTCAAAGCACTATCAGCTCTTTTCAACCCAACATAACCGAGTCCAGCCTGTCTTTGACTTGTTTCACGAAGTGCTTTTAGTATATCAGCTTTATTTTTTCCTTGAACCTTGAGTTCTTTTGCTAAGCCTTTTAGTTCATCAAGGTTCAATAGAGATAATGCCTCATCTAAGGTTTTTATTTGATCTTCTGACGAATCAGCAAAAGTCAACAAGTCTCCAAGGACTGTTCCTTCGGGAGGTCCCAACTCTGCTGGATTGACTTGAACTGTTGCGGTTGATTCTGGTAATGCTCGGGTAGATTGCAGAACTTTCGAAGCTGCAGAAACATCCGTCAAATCTCCATGATAACCCAAACGGTTTATACGATGCCATGCTGAAGTTTTTCGTAAGAAAAGACGTACATACCTATGTTCGTCAGCTCTCAAAAGTTATAATTCAGAGATAATAATCGAGCCTTACAGATATTGAGCTTCATAATCCAATTCTCTCCATTGCTTGAAAACTTCCATTTCCTTCTCATCGAACAGATGCCCTTCATCCTCTAACACAGTTTCCAATGCAAGATTGAAAGCATCACTATAAATACTACTTTTACCTCTCTCCCAAGTCCTCCCAGTCAACCTCGCTTTGAGATCACCTGGAAGGTTTTCGTTTTCGGCACGCATTGCTTCGTATTCAGCAATTGCATTCTTATTGATAACAACTGGTGGCAATGCACTCTCCAACTCCGTCAATCTGGGAGCCACAATCTGATCCGCTTCATCTTCCCCTTCATCATCCGAATCGGGAATTTCCGTACTTCTGAATTGAATTGGACTTCGGATCCGTGGGGATAAAGGTAATGATTCATCTTCATCGGAAGGACACCGAGAACTAAGATCATCACCATCTATACTCTCTGCAGTTTTCAAACGCTTTGAAGGTGGCAATAATTTATCTTTAAAGTCTTGCGGTATCTTACGTTGAGTTCTTCGATGTAGCATAACGTTGTGATTAGCGTTCTTAATTTCTTCGAGTACCATTATACCGAATGTTATGTATACAGAAGTACTTCATCCATCGCATTAAATTTTATGGCAAGAGCGTATCTTACATCCGCGTCTTCAAGCGCGTCAACCATTCCAATATACGCCTGAGCACGTTACCAGCTGCCATACTTAGTTCACCGCTTTGGCAGAAAGCAATTCTCCTCCACCCAATTACACAATCCAATCATAGCGACATAAACATATACCTTCATAAATCCACACCTAACTCCACTACCAGCATGTCGCAACCCGAGACCCCATCACCCGAAATCAACCCTAACAGCACACCCAGCATCAGTTCAGCCGCGCATACCTATCAACTCGCGATGCAAACACAATCGTCCTCCACACCCCCCTCATCCACACCCTCCGGCGTCCTCCAAATGCCGGGCGCAACACGCGATGTGGTTATGGAAGATGCGCCTCTTCATAGACCTGCAGTATGCCTTATACTTCCCCCAGACCCTGATCCTCCACCCATCCCTCCACCTTCTCCTTCCTCCCATCCTTCAAATTCAATTGGACGTTTCCTCTCGCGACTGTCTTCTGCACTAGAATTCTCTATACTTACTCATACAACTCTTTCACAGTCTCCAGCCGCTGCAATTCTCCCACCCACTGCTCAAACTCAATCGCAAACACATTCTCATTCACCCATTTTACCCCCCTCGCATCAAGCTTCCACTTCGTCTGCGAACATAAATCGCGAAACAGCTTCTCCAGCGCCCGTCCCTGCGCGCACAAGTACGCCAGTACCGAAGGTAAATGGAAATGCAGAGAGGGAAAATTCTTCGAGAGCTACTAGCCAACATCCTGATACGGGGCCATCGTTGCCAACTGAAGCAAGTATGCATGGAGCGCCGGCACGGGTTTATTTGAATCAGACTGTTACGGGAAGTTTATTAGAGGGCATGAAACTATTAGCCAAGGACCAGTATGTACCTTGGATCTACTGCCCGACAAGAATCTCTCACGGTGCGTATAAACTAACAATCATTTCTTAATAGACCAAAAGATCCTTTACGAGTATTGGGAGAATTCTTATTATCAAAATCCAAGGAGTTGGAAGGGGGAAATTAAAAACAGATGGGGTTTAGTTACAATACCCCTAGGCACATCAAAATCGTTTCAAGATGGGCGTTCAAGGAGTGAGATATCACGTTAAAAGAATTGGACAATAATTGAGAACAAGGCTGGCGCTGGAAGTATTTCTTAATATTTAATTTGCTATTTAGTTTTTATGCCAATATAGCAGTACTCCTTCTCAAGAAAGTAGTATAGTTCGTGATGCAATTATGTCCACACCCCAACTCCATATCCATTTTGTCATGGTGAAACTTTTTATGCGACCATGGTGCTGGCAGTGGCACTCTCGTATCTCCATGTTGGTGGGAGAACACCGACGGTCTTGTAGTAACGGGAGAGACGGTGGATACGGGATTCAATGAGAATCAAACGGAACTTGGAGTCCTTGTCCTTGCGGTTACGCTCGAGATGCTTGCGGACAGCGACGGCCTAAATTTATTGGATTAGTATAATTCAACGTTAGTTATGAGAATAGTATTGAACGTACCTTCTTGATCAACATGTAAAGGTCTTCTGGGATCTCTGGGGCAAGGCCTATTTTGTCACTCTGTCAGTCTATGACCAAGCAGAGGCGATTGTAAAGATACAAATTGACACATCAAGGATGTACTATAATCCAATGATGGCATATATGGAACTGTTCAGGTAATGTTGGATATCGTACCGTTGGACTTGAGGATTCTAAGAATCTTGTTACCTGCAGAAATAAAAATATTAGTATTCGTGTTTCTCTCAAAATAAAATCCAACCACATCAATTGCATAACGAGAAAATGAACATACCAGTAACAACCTTGACTTGAGCAATACCGTGAGAATCTCTCAAGACAACACCGATTTGGGAAGGAGCAGCACCCTTCTTGGCAAGCTTGCAGATTTGGTCAACAACTTGCTCTGGGGTGGTCTTGAGCCACGAAGGAGGAGCGCGGGAGTATGGGAGAGCAGAGGAAGATATTCCCTTTCCGTTGGAGTGAAGACGACCCATTTTTGCGGTATTTGTCGACGGTGATTAAACTGGTCGTTAGATTGAGATTGTCGAGAGGTGTTAAAGATTTGAAAATGTTCGTCGTCGCAAAATTATGTGTGTGGATTGTTCGTCGCTTAGCTTACGCTAAGAGCTGGTATTTTCTCTACTAGACTGAATTTTGACTAGCGCAATCCGAACATCATAAGAAATTTCTCAAGTCCAGAGCTTTTAATTTTTCCCGACAACAACTTTGATTCACCAACAGAAGTAATGATCAATTCATCATAACTGATTGAGGATCAGCCTCATCGTCTGTACTGACTATTCAGAACTTTCCATTGCGTCGCGCTATCATTTAAATGTAAGAGATTCCCCTTTCCATTCACAATCGACCGAGAAGATACAATGATGATATTTCTTTTTACTATTTTTCTGGTACCTCTTGTTTTAGGACTCTCTGCGGAGGGAACAATGAACTAACTGAACATCTGATTAATCTTCTCGGTTGTTACTTTTTTATGCTATTGTATATCTACACATGATCCGTAACTAACCTTAAAATAGAACACTTTCACATAAACCAATTTCTCGCGTCGCAAAGGTCAACATTCTTGGAAAGCATGTAAGGTCTGGTACCTATCAGAGATGCCTATGGAGGATTTTATGTCTATCCAACATAAATGTGCCAGTTTATATTTCACGACCACGGTCAGCCTAGATTGGTGACATTTTACATATGATATTGCCAGTAATGCTCTTTCAGGATATAGGTAGGTTCACGAAATGGATTTGGATAATGAGAATCGTGTACTTCTTCAAGTGATGTGGTGCTTATTGGGCCGGAGGGAAATCTTCTATGCTCTTTTATATAGAATACAATAATATTTTTTAATGTCTTGTAACGCTGTCTATCTATTTGATCGTCATGTGTGATCTTTCTCGATTCAGTGATTTGCTTCACTTCATCCCGCATGACTCCATTGGAGTTTATGGAATCAATTTAATCGGTGTGGAATTCTCTCGCCATCAGCCAACCAATTTCATATAATAGTTATAGTGTTGTATCCTACCAGATCGTCTGCGTTCAACCTTCATACGTTTCCATCAAGGGTTTTAATAGATATCTACGTGAGCACTTCTATAAGCTTGTTGGACCTTTTCATCAGTTCAAATCAATTTCACGAGTGATTACTTTAAAATCATCACGTTCGGCCAACAAGCTTGCTCCCTAATACGTCAAGTGTTCGTTCTGGCAATAACTCTTTTCGCAGGTTACCTTCCCAATCTAACACGGACACACACTTCATAGCTAAATGGCGACCTCCTTTCTCCTAACCTTCCTCCACGCTATCTTCCATGACACCCTTACTTAATTCCCTTCTAATTCTCCTGGTGCTACTTCTCAACATTCATAATCTTGTAATCTTTTACCAACGAATTCGATTCGTCAGCTCCCCCCCCCCCCCCCCGCGAATTGTGAAGATCTGCATGGAGCGCTTCCGTCAAGAGCATTTTTGAAACCTTTCTGCTCTATTCTAATGGAGTATTGGATGCGGGTGAGAAATAATCCAGCATAAGGCCGGATTTCAAGAAGGTGAATTTGAGGATCCAGTGGGTGTGAGAATGGATGAGTAAATGGAGGAAGAGGTTAATCCATACCTTTTCACCTCGATCGAACTCTTTGAGACATTCCTCCACAGTAAATTTTCGACACATCATGATATTTCAACACATTTCTATCTCTTCCACACCATCACCAAATAATTTGGCCATTCTTCACTTCAAGATTGCTCACTTAGCGCAAATCTCTCCATCTACGTATCCACAGCAACATCAGATAATTTTTTCTGAATAATGCTCTCTTTATCACTATCTGTACCCATAAAGAAAGAAGCTTATAGATACAGATTAAAGTAGCTCGAGTTTGGATGCGGAGTAGGTTCTTTTGGACTCAGGTCGCGTTTTGAATAAGTGAATGAGTTGACGGGCTTTGGGAGGAGGGTTAGAGTGGGTAATTTAGAAGAAGAGGGGAGAGGAATGGAAGGAGTATCTGACTGGTGAGAATGGGGATCTCGTGATTATGTATTTTCTGGTTGTAAGAGGCCATTGGTTTAGCGTCCAATCAAAACATTGAAATTATTATCTATTGAGTGTAGAGCGGAGACGGAGGGGAAGATTCTAAATAGATAGATACAGTATCCATTCCAAGGCACCGGCCATTACGATCTCAAACTCGATTTAAGGCTCTTGGACTCTCCTGATCAGGCACGTGTGTACGGCGTATACTATAAGAAATGAGGAATCAAACTTCAACTTCTGAGTCTTGAGGGGAAATCCTTACTAAATATATATACAATTTCAAAGAGTCTAAACCCACTCTAAGACATTCAAAGGGATCGTAGACGTGATGCTATGAATCGTGATGAACAAGCATGGGTTTCGCTAGAAAGCCACGAAGAGATGGGTATCCATGGGTTATACTCAAGTATATGATCAAGATTTTCCTTTCGTTTGCGTTGCTCATTGTCTCTCGTGATTGACCAGTACTGAACCTTCGTTATGAGATGCAGACGATATCCATCATCGGATTTCTGGTAATATCGGGCTTGGACTAGCTCCCCTCTAGTACCGCAATGTCATGCTAATGAGAGTGAATGCCTCTGTGTGTGCGAAGGCCCAGGGTCTTGTTGGATTTAAGAATCAGGGAGATCGTGCGAATACTGATGAGACTGTAGTTCAACAATATCTAGCAACTTAAGCAGAGTACGAGCGTGAAAATATTTAGCTTCTATTGGATGTTGTGGACTTGACTTCATAACATCTCCATGATGGATACCCAACGCCGTCAGAAGAATATATAATCCAGCACAGTACAAACAGGAGTGAAATCATCAGATAACTGGTTTAGATATTTTCTATTTGATGTCATCATAATACATACAAACACTACTAATAAAGTACAGATCGTCATTACATAGGCGGGATATATCCCATACCTAATCCGAGATCTCGGGACTCGAGATCTCTATGTATACCTACTACAACTGTAGCAGTATTAGTACCCTCGAACCAGTAAGTTCGATGATAATTTTGGTCTATGATGGGTATCTAGGTATTGCAAACACATTGTACCCCATCCCCCTCCATAATTCTATCCATCCGCTCGGAGCCCTTTCGTACCTGACCGGCCTTTTCTTGGACAAAGAAAAAATGGTTTGTTCCAGGTTTCGTACTTTTTGTATCCTGACTTGATTCATGTAGGTGACTATCCAAAGTCTTTTCATCCCGCGTGGGGTGACGAGCCGAGCTCTCTATTTCTTCTCGCTCTATCGCCTAGCCAAGCCGCCGAGTCGCCAAGCCACCAAACTCCTGTTTGACCCTTTGTGAGGGACAGCATGAAACATCGCTAAAAAAATGCTCGAAAATAAATAAAATAAACATGTAGAACCCATATTAGAATTTGTTGGTGTTTGAATTCATGGGTGGAGCATATGTTGTGGTAGAATCCCATGATTGTGGTGGATGGGGTTTGGAAAATGAACGTGACGGTGATTTATATCTTGCTTCCCTGCCAAAGTAGTCTGGTGTTTCTCGACCACTTTTTCGAACGGGTGAAATTGGAGTGACGGCATCTGGAGTTCCGTATGCCTCTATGTTCTTGCTGTCGCGTTGATCTCGATCCTTGCTAAGCATTTCGTATGACCTGGGATCTTTGAAGGCGTGAACATCGGCACTGATGAATTCATTGTTGGGCTTTATTTTTCCACGGTACATTTCATACCAGCCTGTAATCATTGCCTTTCTTCCCAAGAATATTGCTGCCCAAAAGCCATTGAACTAAATCACATTAGCAATTGATTAAATAAGGATGGCAATGGGGAGAACTTACGGACAGCATGACAAGGACCGCACCAACGGTAGCCTCGTTCACAACTAGAGATTTTGCTAAAGGTAAACACTCTTCTTTACCTCCAGCAGTCCGGACCAAACATGTTAACCATTGCTCGGCCTTGGTAGGATCCTTGAGGATATTTGTTTCTAAATCATCCATGAAGACAAAGACAATCGCAAAGAATGTGACATCAGCGATAATCACTAGTACAATAGCTATACCTCTCCATTGTAACTCAATCACTCGGCGAACTCTACGATATGCTTGTCGTGGTGAGACAGTGCGTACACTGTTAGTGTACGAAGGGAGAACTCCTGAAGTTTCCGTGGTGTTGGAATCGTCTGCGAGGGATGAAAGATATACTTTGATGCAGTAACCGAAAGTAACGAACTGGATGATAACGGTGGCGCCAGAAAATATTAGAAGAGGAATCCAGAAGTCCGCTAAACTGTTCTCGTGATTGATGTGGCAAGTATCTCCAAATCGGAAGGAAACACCACTAAAGATCATTCCAAAACATAATGCAATGGCCGGTATTCCCCATCCAGTAGCAAGAGCTCCCCACATGAATGACTTCCCAATAATCACCTGCCAACAGATCTGTAGATGTAAGGCGAGGGACCTTAAGAAGACCCACATCACACCGCACCAGCCTCCAGCCATTATGAATGCGCCGGAGATCGCACAAGTAAAGTTAGTGCTCATATCGTTCGGAGTGATTGCGTTATAGCATTGATCGGGGTTTGCGCTTAATGGTATAATGAAACCCAACTTTTGGCGACATATGTTAGGAAATGGTTGGTAGAAGGCACGGGGACTAGTGACTCACCTGCATCAAAACTGTAGCAATAACCAAGCAGATACTGAGGTAGTGCCTATGGGTCTTCTCGACTGGCAGAAATGCGAAGCATATCAACAAGTATATAGAACATATCATCGCCGCTACACTGACCCAATTTGCGGATTCGGTAAGGGTGTTGATGCTTTCACCGTAAAGCCATTCAGTCTGTGGACATGGCAAACAGCAAATGACCCCCAAGGTGGTAGAGCAAAATCTCCATCGGTAACTATATGTTGTCAGCATGGTGAAAACGGACCGGAGAGTATGCAAGACATACAACCACCTGTCGATGGGAAGAGATCTGCCTCAAGGAACGGCGCTGGACACCTGCCCTGGCCAAAAACTGTCGAATTAGAACCACTCATTGTGGAGATGAGAATCAACAATCGTGATAGAGGAACACCAAATCGATTGAAAATGACGGCAGCCAGGTGTGTGAACTTTCCTGATTCTCACCCCGGACTGGCCGTATATCAATGGACGGAAGGAAGTGTAAGAACACTATATGCTGTGGCGTTCTTCTTCAGCTGTCATATACTTTTGGAAGTTAAACGTTTGTAATCGTCATGTGGTATATTACGAAACCAGTGATGGGAAATTCTAGTATGTTTGAACGCTCGGTGGTGCGTAGGCCCGTGGGATATAGTACTGGAAGAGTTTCATGAGGCCATCGCCAGGTGTTTTGACAATACTTCAGCTGATATCAAGAAAGCAGAGAGACTTCAAAAAATGGAACTGGAACGTTTGTGTATGATACAGAGATGAGAAAAATAGAAACCGATCCAAATGGATAGAATGGGGATTACAAGCCTGCATATGTATAAGGCGACATAAGTGCAGTCTGAGTACCATAGGTGGAGTCTCGTAGCTTGGGACGCACGCGAGGTCTTTGCCCATGATGGTGCTCTGGCTCCATGATGAGCTAGGATTGGTCTTTCCTTATGCCTTCCTTGAAGGGACGGTAGGACGAATCCCTGTGAGAAGATGGTGTTTCCGGCCAGCAAAAGACGCGGATGAAGTCTTGAGTATCAACTAGTGGTTGACCGGATTAGGATATAAATCCACCTTGCAGATTTAATTGGAAGAAAAGATTTGCGTGTAGAGGCACAATATTACACATTTGAACAAGGAATATAGCATTCCTGGGTTATCGGAGAGAGAGGATACATTTGGGAGGAGGTTGCCAATTGGCAAGCTGAAGAGTGGTTGAGAAAGTTTTGGAGAAATACTGGTGATGGGTATTTTTTCCCCGTGTCTAAGAAAATCTCGGCCAACGAGCTGAATCATTGGGTGTGAGAGTATGGTAAGTTGATTGCCTTTGCATGGATACGATGACCAGGTCACCTTGTACTTTGCGTCTCCGGGGGATCCACTCCTGACTTTTCCACATTAGGTCTTTTCTCCATGGCTAATTGATACCATTGGATGATCGGGTTATTGGTTTATTGTTGACTGCTCTCAGATATAAGTTATAATTGGCACGGGCGAGGAAGAAATACCCAAGAAAGAAAATGAATTCAATTCAGTTCAATCCAACCCAACCCAACCGTACCAGAAGAGCGTTGATAAAGAAAGCTACCACAATAATTTACAAGGGGGAGGCGTTGCTTACTTGACTGTGTATTCCAAATTGCTCTGTTTACAGGTAGTCATCATCAACAACTGATTTCATTTATTTTTTCGTTTTCCTATACCGAGCCGTGGCCCCCTCTTCCCCCTCAATTAGAACTCCGCAATTAGGAGGTAAATACAACCCTTTTCGCTTACAGGCACAAGCTGATGTGTAAATATATATGCAGATCCAAAGAGTCGCGCGTAAGGTCGTATTTCATCATCGTTTATGTTACAACCCCTAATCAATATCACAAAAGCTTTATTGGAGTTTATCCGATCGATGATCTACTGTGGTAGAATTCTAATAGATGTGATCATGGTTCGGAAAGAAGAAGCGAGTCGCGACCTCGGATTTTTAATTTGGAATTGAGGATCCAATGATTTCAAAACTTAACACTCGAGTATATCATACTTTGTACTAAGACCGTAAAGTATCTAATAAACACGAGAAGACTTGGGTAACCTAGATACCTGAAGGCAATGTCGATTCGAAAGCTGTTGACTTAATTTTGGACAGGTGGGCCTGAAATCATACGATTGGACTTCCCAATTGAACACAACGCCAACGAGAACGGAAAGGTCAAGCCAGGCGATATAAATGGCAAGAGTTCATTGTATTGTCAAAGTCACGCCTTTCCATACAGAGTAGAGTCCTTCTGCCGGGGAATTTAATACGCATGGAAGCAAAGAAGCAAAGAAGCCACCGTGTAGTGCGTACTAGAACGTAATGTACTAAATGGGCTAGGTACATTTGATATTTCGCACAATATCGTGCCGTCTCACTCAAACACACCATACGAAAGGACATTCTTAACTAGGTACTGTACCGTATTTTTTTTAGTCCTCCTGGAATTCGTGTGCACTTTGCTGGAATCGACCCGCGATCTTGCCACAACTTCCAACTTTTGTCCACGCAATGAGGCTGGGCAGAGTGGCTTAAATATCATGCAGAAAGACGGAGAGGCAAAGTCAGTCATAATGGAATCATAATTATCAGCCAGCCATCCACCATGGACAACTGCAAACACATCAACGTCAAGTCTCATCCAAAGGATAGACAAAGTCGAAAAAGGAAGTGCTCTCGTTCATGTTTACATTTACATAATCATCTGCATGTCGGCAGGATCGGGTCTGAAAGAGTAGTGGAGGCAAGCAAACTGTTGTTTACGGTCCCACAGTGCCCTGAAGCTAATGATTGGTTTGAAGCTAATGTAGATGAAATAGTCTAGTCCATCATTCCAGGTACCGGAGAGCCCCGCTGCTTTGAAAAAATGCCGTTCAGCATGCTGAGAGGTTGACTCTTTACGACAATCCTCACGCCATTATCCGCCAAAGTTGATATCACAACGACATCTCGTGTTCGATGTACTGTTGGTTGTAACTTTGACGCCGAAGCTGACGTCTGTTAGCCATCGCACAGGCGTAATAGCATGAATGATATTGCTGCCGCGAAGGGATTACTCTTGAATTCTGGATCCGTAGTCTCAACTAACTTATCAAGCACCCGCAGAAGGATCTGTTTTAAGTGGCAATGATCGTCTAACATCTCCGAAAAGGTCCCTCCTTTTTATATCGTCATCCACTTTGGGAATCTATGCTGCGGGGCCGGCCGTCGATTATGTTCATCAATCTTGACTCGAATGGAAAGTCATTTGCCAAAAAATGTTTTATATTTGAGGAAGGTATTTGATGCAAGGCAGATTGAATTTCTATCTGGCTGAGTTCTGAATCTCTACTCCGCATATCGGCTCCATGTATTTACAAATGCTCATTTCGCGTACAAAAAACAGGTGTGGTCACTGCGTACATCGCCGCCCAGACGGCCCCCAAAACCAGCTCGTTTAATCCCAGTGCAAAAACAATTGCAATTACAAAAATAATATCTGTGCTACGAGTAGGTACCTGGTTTCCTGCAACATTCCGTACTTTCTTGCATTAGAAATGAACTTATTGGGTACAAACCCCCCTGATTGCCACACGACTCATTCTTATCTGTTTATAAAAATCCCATCAAAGCTGGTAGGATGAATAGGAAATGTACACGCTCGTCACGAGCACGTGGTAGTGGAGACTCCCTTCGTTTTGACCCTCTTTGTCTCACGCGTTGATCTATCGTTCATGTGTGAATATCGTCATCCTCGTTCACTTGGAAACGTGGACATTGTTCATGCAATAGAAGTTCATAAAGGTTTTCTCGCGGATCAAATCCTCGCCGGGCTTGTATCAATAGGTAGTTTCAGACATATCACATCGGCACTCACGCTACAGAACCTTCATAAGACCCGCCGAGCACTGTGACGAATACCACAGTATTTGGTAATATTTACGTTGCTAATTTCACAGATACTTGATTTCTTTACCTACAACGTTCGCGCGGCAATTTCATCCTCGCCTATCTAGACTGTGCCCCCTCAGCCTTCCTCTGTATCTTCAATATAACTCCATAGTTACTCTTCATTACTATTTCAGAATCATCAAGTATTTCAAACTGATCTTGCTTCATCTTTCCGCTAGATGAGAATCTCTCGCTAGTAACCTTACTGAAAGTTCACGAACCAGTTCCTCGTCTACGGAGTATCTACAATCTCTAACTTCTAGAAGCAATGTTATTTTGAACATTATCACACAACCGTTGTAACAGCTAAGCCCTACGGATTTGAAGACTAACTGTAACAACGCTTAGGCTCAAATTCCCTATGATACCTCACTCCATATTACAAACCAACCAGTTGAATGACCGCTAAAGGTTTATGCTGTCATTGTATCAGGATTCAAAATGAGATATGACAGACGCACTGACCTCCTATATCTATCTCATTCTGGCTTCACCATCAATTCCAACATAACATAATCCGCATTGCATCGGATAACATCTCAAATGATACATGTGTAAATATGTATTCTGCACCTCTGTCCAGACATCTAGATCACGACCGAGACTCCGACCCGACTACTTGGAACGGCTCGAGACTCGAATTTATTACTAGGTATATACATTAGTAAGAGTTGAGGCCCCGGCTTATCGCACACTACCCTTTTTCGTGACAAAATCCCTGCAAAAAAGTCGTTTCCCATATAAACTTATTTCTTTTATAATTTATTTAATAATTCAAAAATCGATTTAAAAATCTCTTATATAAGAAATTACTATATTTGAAATCTTAAAAAATGAATGGATTATTTTTAATATTTTTTTTCATATAGTTATAGATTTTCAAAATTTATCACATATAACACTTTTCCTATACAAAAAAAATCGATTTTTTTGAATTTTTTGGAAATCCTAACTTTGAAAACCTGCAACTATATCAAAAGATATTAAAAATAATCCATTCATTTTTTTGAATAATTTCAATAATCAATTATCATATATATCAATTTCAATAATTTAACTTTTATATTTATTAAAATAATATATAATTCAAAAGTTGAAGAAATGAAGGTTTTTGGTGTGTTTTCGGCTAGTGTGCGATAAGCCGGGGCCTAAACTCTTACATCCACCAGTGGGTGCACGGACTCACGGGACAACGTGACAGGAAAGCACAATTTCATACCAAAATAAGCGATTATAATAATTTGATTAAAGTTCATTTTATTATCAAATTCTCTTGAAATTGAAATATATAGTTTTTCAAGTATGAAAAAATGATCGACTCCAAAGTGATCCAAATAAATTGAGATTTGAGCCCAAAAAGCGAATAGTGCGTTTTCTCACCAAAATTTTTGGTGGGGGATTATATATTCTTTTATA